TTGCAGATTTCTTATATTTTTTCTTCTACCCTGAAGATGGAGGCGATACGTTCCTCCGAAACGTCGGTTAACACCACATATACACGGTGCCAAATCCCAGAAGACTGCTTTCTTCATAGCCACCGCCGTGAAAGCCTCAGATCTTACATTTGAAGTATGTTCTTTCATTAGCTAAACATAAATTTTGTCTATCAGCAATAATTTTTCTTTTATTCGCCTTCAAAAAAGGAAGTTTCTGCGCCCCACTCTGTATTATGAAGGTACAGTATTACAGTACTACTTTTAATAAAATTTGTCTTAACCGGATTTTCGATTAATCGTGATTTCCATCCCCACCATTATCCCGGATAATCAAGAGTTGAGTGTACTTTATAATTGGAAGAAAGGCCCAAAACTGAAGTACTTTAAAATATAATGATTTAGTATAGAACACTGTTGAGATCTGTGAAGTATTAACAATGTGTTAATTAGCTATGACACAAGCCATTTGTTTAAATCTTATAATTTGCACCTCCAGTAGTTATTTTCTTAGGTTTCGTTAATCAGAATTAATCACATTCATCTCTGAATTGGAGTCATATTATCATTGATTTGCATGCAGTTGAAACTGGGTTAATAATACACTGTTAAACTACATATATTCCTGAAGAAAGCAGTCTTCTGGGATTTGGCACCGTGTATATGTGGTGTTAACCGACGTTTCGGAGGAACGTATCGCCTCCATCTTCAGGGTAGAAGAAAAAATATAAGAATTCTGCAAGCGAAGAGACCGTGAGAACCGGTAAAAGCAGACTGTGTGAAAGCCTCAAATCTTACATACATATATTCCTCTTACATATGTAGAATATAACCTGGTGTTCATTTTACTCTGAAATTGTGACTACATATTGCTTTTTTTTTTACTACTACTACTGCTGCCACCACTGCCATCACCAGTAATAATAATGATAATGATAACGATGACGACGATGATAACAAAAACAACAATAATAATAATAATAATAATAATAACAACAACAACAACAAGCACTTTCTGAGTGCAGGCAGTGAGTTTCACCACAATCCAGTAGAAGTTCCAAGCTCTGGGAAAGGCAATTTCCTTCACTAGCCCCTCATTTTATCTTGAAGCATCCAAACATTTCCACCTGAAGCTACTAATATATCACTTTATAGTCGATGTTGAAAGCCCCATTAAAATTCTATAGCCTCACAAAGAATAGTAATCTTTGGAGTTACTTCATCACTGAAGTAAACCTTGATTGTTATTACATCTTTTGTGACCTATCAGTCAGTCATTCATTACAATAATTATGCAGTGGAAACGGTGCTCATATAAACTGTGGGCTTATAACTGTAACATAAACATGTAGGAAACTTTTGCACAAATATTTTAATGAGTTTTCATATGAGAATGGCATCAGTATAAAATGCCATTCATTGCTTTTGCAGAAGGATGGTTATAAACATTCTGATTTCTTCTCTCCTTTAAACTTGTGTATTTATGTGTAGAAATGAAAAAAAAAAAAATTTCTAAAATGCATAAATTTAATTTTTGGAGATAAAATATTTTCTTTTTGTTGAAAACAGTTTTCTAATGTCAGTAATGCTTGCAATGAGATCTGTCCTGGATAATTAATACTGAATTTCTGTAGAAGCTCATTCCCTTTGTGTATTTACCTAACCCATGTTTTCAGTTCTAGATTCATAGAAATGAGAAGAGATTTGCGGTTGGAAATGGATACATTTTAACTAATTTTGCATTGGTATGTTTGCAATGTTAATATTTTGCAGTAAATGGAATCAACTGCTATCAGTGTGTGAGTACAAGTCATGATGATCCATTCCAGTGCAATGAGTACCTTGGGAGTGATGTGGATCTGGTGCCAAATCCTTGTGATGCTGTGTTTGGAGCACAGTATTGTATCAAACATACAGGCCGATTTGAAGGTTTGGAAGAAAACCTTTGATCTTTCACTAGGTGGCAGTGCTTTTGGCGGCTATAATTTTGATGCTTCTAACCTGTCAGCATTGTCATCATCTGTAAACTCATGGGCTCCAGATTTTGTTATGTGTACATGTGGTTTCAGCCAGGCATGCCAAACTTCATATAGTTGTAACATTTGATCACTACTGATGTCGTTTACTAACTGTTGTTTAAATTATACATTGCATTGATGATGTAAAAGAAAAGGGAAGCATTTAAACTGTCATGGAGCAGCCATTAAAGAAAAAATAAAAAAAATCCATGGGTTTTAGTCTACAAGCGAACTATACCGACCAAGTGATCGCCATAGTCCGCAAGCAAACTATACCAACCAAGCTATTGCCACTTGTCGGCAAAGTTAATGCCAACTTTTGTGGATAGAGGGTGTCATGTGGTCAGCGGAACGGATTCCCACAGCCGTTAATCTTGGTTTTCTAGACCGGAGCTGCTACTTTTCCATTCAAGTAGCTCTTCAATTACCCTCACAAGGCTGAGTGGACCCCGTTCCAGACCCACTACTCCTCAGAAAATCTGGTAGCTCCGGGAATCAAACCCGGGACCTCTGGATATGTAGCCAGGAACTCTGACCACTAGACCATAGAGGCGGTCCATTAAAAGAAAGATACAAACTTTAAATGTCATGAACATCCAGTCTAGTGGTTGCAAACACTGAAATGGCATTTCCTTTTGCTATGAACCACCAAAGATACCACTAACAAATCACCTATTTTAGTCCACTCACTTACTGCCAAGGTTCTCAGATTTTTTGATACCATGTTTTCCTCCCCCCTCCAAAAATAATACACAAAACTAAAAAAACATTTGTGATCAAGCAGTCAGTTAAGTATGTAATACTATTGCCTTGCAGGTAGACTGACATTTCCTATAAAGCCTCAAAATCACAGGCCAATTTTGGATTTCTTTTACTTACAACTGAAGTTTGACATGGCTGGTGCTAACTGTGCAGCAATTTGGAATTTGGTTTCAGTTTTTCTCCAGATTCAAGTTCTACAAAATTTCAGTTACTAATACACATATGCTGGTTTTCAGTCCTTCTGAAATGGTTTATATGCCCTCTGAATATGCTTATAATATCCCATGGGATCTCTCTCCTAATGCATACTGGTCATTTGGATGCATGATCACTCTCTGAGGTCCTTTGTTTCATCACATAGAAGTTTAATGTTTTGTTTGAATTTAAAAATTGTTAGAATCTATCTGTTGCACTGATATGTAATATATTCTGAATATTTGACTGAATTTAATAGAGAACCTGTTTTCATGTTCATGTATTTGAATATATAGTACAGCACCAGTTTTAAATGGGACACTATATACTGGTGCAGTGTTGGGCAAAGGACCTGAAAGGGTTGGCAATAAGAAGAGAAATAAATATGTATATGTTGATTGTGATATGCTTCCACTCTGTAGGGCTTGGTGAAGAATGGGAAGTGTGCTTATTGTTCTGATGACTGTTTCTTTTATTTTCACCTCTAGGATTTGCTTCATTGGCATACTGACTAAAAATAAGTTCTAGTAGTGTGTGAGTGAAAGGAGGAAGAGAGGAATTATTGGGAGTATTACTGTCCAAATTATCACCACCTCTTCACCTTTGTAAATTGAAAGACATTTGTTATGTGATCTAAGTTTATAGTTATAATTCAATTACCTCACTCCTAGGGAAGCNTCTACTGTACTCATTGCACCATTGCTGGGTCCCTTTTTACCATTATATGCTGAGTCTTTAAGTCAGATTGTTTCCATTATCTCAGTCAATCTTCTGCCTTTCTCTTCTTCATTTTTGCAGTTACCCAAGGATATTTCCTTAATTGATAATTGTATGCTGGTCATAATTGTATTATGTGGAGCTGGTGTAGCACAGTCGATATACAAGTGACTGGCTGAGGGGTCAGAGTTTGAGTCCTGGTTGGGTCAAGAATTTTCTCTTCTTCACATTATTCAGACCGGTTCTGGGGCTCACCCAGACTCCTATCCAATGGGTACTGGGGGTTCTTTCCCCAGGGGTAAAGCGGCCGGGACTTGAAGCTGACCACTCACCTCCAACTAGTGCTGAGGTCAAAGAAACGTGGTCTACACATTCACTCCCCCATATGCCTTCATGGCATAAGTGCTTAATTAGTTAAGTACAGGAACAACTTTACTTTTACCATCATGATCTTCCAGTGTATGAGCTTGGTATTATAATGAAAGAGCACATTTTACCTTGTGATCTAATTGCATTCCTGTGGATGCATTATGAATGGTCCAAAGCACATCATTAATTAAGATAAACTAAACAAGAGAGGAAATATCTGCATCTATTTTCTAGATGCATTGTTTATGAATTTTCATCTCTCATCTCTCTCTTTAATTATTGCAGATACAGTTCTGCTCTAAATAGGCTCCATCCACACTGCAGATATTATATTGCATGAAGTTATAGATTTCTACTTTTAACAAAGGCATATAACAATTGGCTATGGGCTGGATGGCCAAGGGGTCGGAGTTTGAGTCCTGGTGGGGCAAAGAATTTTCACTTCTCCATATCATCCAGACTGGCTCTGAGGTCCACCCAGCCTCCTATCCAATGGGTACTGGGAGCATTTTCCCCAGGGGTGAAGCGGCTGGGGCGTGAAGCTGACCACTCACCTCCAAATAGAGCTGAGATCAACAAAACATGGATGTATACATCCACTCCCCCATACATCTTCATGGTGTAGTACTTAATCAGTTAAGCATTGTTGACATAGGCAATCAAGAGCACAGTGCTCAAAGACATTAATAATTTATCCTTAAATTTTTTATTAAATAGATACCATACTGAAAAATGTTTAAAAGAGAAGTTACCGTTTTAACTATATTCATATTTTTGTTTGTATTGCAGACACATTCTTATACCTTGAGGTTCTGATAAGTCCAATTAGGTTGTTAATGAATAATGAAGTCCAACGTGTGTATTCAACAGTAAACCACCACCTCCTCTCTTCCTCATTTTTTTTTTATGTTAAGTGTGGAACTAGGCTAGTTATCCTGCTGCACATTACCGTCTTCTTGCATTGTAAAGAGAGATGTTATGCACACCTCCTCGGTGATGGAGTCTTCACTTGGGCTGTACATATGAGCAGTGTAACTTACAGGAGCATCTGAACACAAACTGTCACCTGAACAGAATGTTGCAATGCATGGAAATACATGTTTCATTGTTAATGAAGTGGACTGTTTCTTCTGGCTGCTTGTATGGCTATCTTTGGAATCAGCAATGGGTGCTGACTGCTATCAATGCTTGTCTTCCAAAAATGTTGACTGTACAGACAGCATGATTCATGATGGCAACATCAGTGCCACAACATGTGACCATGTGTTTGAGGCGAGATACTGCATCAAAACAGTTGGTCTCTATGGAGGTATATCATTTTCTACATTGTTTGGACTTGTGCATGTTGATTGATTCTGATGCTTGCTGGGACCAGATAATCTATGTTGTCTGAAATCGTGCATGTTTACAGGTTCCGGTGTTTACTGGGACAAAATATTTTTCCTTAGAGTTGGATACACATAATTTCTGTCAAAGGAAGATGTAAAAATTATATTATGTTTCAAACAAGTATAGTAAGCTCCAAGTTACTGGGCATGTGTGAGGTATGAATTGTGGTGATTACAGTACATTAATCTGCTGGTTACATGAGAAAAACTCATACTAAAACTCAGTACAAAGTCAAAATATGTTCTCACTTTATTTCTTGTGCAGAAGAAGACTTCCTAGATGACACCAGATTGATGTGTGAAAGATAGGGATAAAAATATTGTACTGCTATCACAGTTAGGTGGGTCCCTGTCACCACGGCATGGCACGTCCTCAGGTTGCGGATGGAGGAGACGCCCTCCAGTTTTGGAGGGAAGCTGCGAATATATTGAATAAGTAGTCACGAACAGCCGACAAGGGGTGGCCCTCCAGTTTTGGGGTTGGGCGTGGGGCTAACAAATCATCACCGTAAAAAATCATTATGTTACAAAATGAACCCAAAGCCTCGGACCTGGACTGATTCTTTGGATAAACGACCTAAGCTAATGAAAATGGATATGAGATTTGGCACTTGGAATATACGACGTTTATATAGGGCAGATTCACTCAGGGCTGTGGTAGAAGAAATCTTAAAATATAAGTTACATTTAGCGGGAGTACAGGAGGTCAGATGGGATGGAGGTGGCATCACACCAGCAGGAGACTATACATTTTTCTATGGAAAGGGGAATGAAAATCATGAATTAAGTACAGTTTTTTTTCATACATAAGAGAATCATATCACCAGTTAAGAGGGTAGAGTTCGTTAGTGATAGGATAGCATATATAATACTGAAAGGTCACTGGTTTGATATCATTGTTATGAATGTTCACACCCCAACAGAAGATAAAATGGATGACATAAAGGGTAGATTCTATGAAGAACTAGAACATGTATTTGATAAATTCCTGAAGTACCATATGAAAATTTTGTTAGGAGATTTCAATGCCAAAGTGTGGGGGGGGGGAAACATTTTCAAACCAAAAATTAGGAATGAGAGTTTGCATGAAATTAGTATTGATAATGGAGTTAGAGTAGTAAAAATTCTTACTGTCAAAAGTACAATATTCCCACATCATAACATCCACAAATTTACTTGGACATCTCCTGATGGTAAGATACACAAACAAATAGACCATATTTTGATAGATAGGAGATGGCACTCAAGTATACTTGATGTCCGATCATTCAGGGCAGCAGAATGTGATACTGACCACTACCTGGTGGTGGCAAAGGTTAGGGAAAGACTAACAGTGAGCAAACAAACAGCACACAGAGTTCATATGGAGAGGTTCAATGTCAAGAAATTAAATGAGGTAGAGGGTAAAGAG